TCCCGGCTACCGCAGCCTCGATCTGCTGGGCTCTGGCGATCCTTCCGCCTCAGCCTTCCAAGTAGCTGGAACTACAGGCGCACACTACCACGCCTGGCTACTTTTTTTGACTCGAACCCGCGGGCAAAATTGCTTTTAATGTTGGAAAGAGGTACTTTGCTTTTTATGTTAAGAAGCAAATGTGAGCCGGGTTCGGTGGTTCAGCCTGTGTCCCGCTAAATTTAAATACCATATAGCTGATTAATGACCTTCTTAGAGTTCCATAAGCTTTAAGTTTAAAACTCTTGTTTTATTTTTGCATTATTTTTCATGTATATGAAACATATCATGAATTATCTAAAATGGGATTTAATAATTTGTGTGCTTATGTGTTTTTCTGGGAAGGGTGTTCATAGTCCTTTTGGACATCGTACAACATGTTGTCTTTTGTAACTGGTATCTTTCACTGACCATAGATGAATCAGTGTTTCCTTATTTTGCAGCATGTATCAGATCTTCATTGCTTTTCCTATATTTCATTGTATGGACTTACCACATTTTATGTATTCATTGGTTGGTAGACATTAGGTTGGTTTCTACTTTTGGGCTATTATAGATAATACTTGTATGAACATTAATGCACAAGTTTTTCTGTTGACATATATTCTCTTGGGTATGAACATTTGGTTACAAAGTTTTATAACTTTGATTTGAATTGTCATGACCACTAATGACAATGCACATTTCTCATGTGCTTATTCACCATTTGTGTATCTTTCTTGTTCATTTTAATATTGAGTTGTTTGTGTTTTCAGTACTGAGTAGTAATATTTATTTTTATATTATTTTTTTCTTTTTTTTTTTGAGTCAGAGTCTCACTCTGTCACCCAGGCTAAAATGTAGTGGAATACTCCTGGCCACCACAGCCTCGATTTACTGGGCTCAGGTGATCCTTCCACTTCATCCTTCCAAGTAGCTGGAACCATAGGCATGTGCCACCATACCCGGCTAATTTTTTTTATTTTTGTAGAGATGAAGGTCTCACCATGTTGCTCAGGCTGGGCTTGAACCCCTGAGCTCAGGCAGTCCTCTCGCCTTTGCCTCCCAAAGTGCTAGGATTACAGATTTGAGCCATCACGCCTGGCTTATTTTTATATCCTAGGTACAAGTCACCAGATTTATGTTTTGTAAAAATGTTTCCCCATTCTTTAAGTTGTCTTTCTTTTTACTTTCTTCATGATGTCCTTTGAAGCGTGTATGTAATCTTGAGTTTTGATGAAGTCCACTATTTCTGTTTTTTTATTTGTCACTTGTACTTTTGGTGTCATATGTAAAAAACCATTGTCTAATCCAAGGGCATGAAAATATACAATAATTTGTTCTAAGAGTTTTGTTGTTCTGGCTTTTACATTTAAGTATTTAATGTGGTATGAGGTAAGGGTTTAACTTCATTCTTTTGCATATGGATACCCAGTTGTTCCAGCACTATTTGTTGAAAAGACTATTCTTTCACCATTGGCTTGTCTTCAAATCCTTGGTTAAATTCAGTTGACTGTAAATATAGATTTATTTATTTTTATTGTTTGAAAGTTTTGATTTGTCCTTGTCTCAGGGACCATAATGCAAAGTATCACAGAGAATAGTTTTTTGTTTTTCAAAATAAGTTTAGGCCCATTAGGAAAAATTTTCTGGGGGGATGCCACCTAAAATTTATCATTCTCATGTGCCTTCTTTTGTTTTTTATTTTAAAGATGTGAGGTACAATGTAAGGTTCGGTATACAAATATTCATTATGCAGGTACCCTACTCATGTACCTTCTTAATTACGTTTTTAGTAATGAAAGAATCTTTATTTAATGTGTTTTTCTTGGAGTTTACCTTCATTTGAATCGACAAACTTGAGTTCTTTTAATATTTATTTCTCTTTTATTTTGTTTAAAAGCACTATAAACATGTTAGAATTATAGAGGTTTATGTTCTTCCACCCCTTCACTTGTTTTCAGTCTAGCTACGGATAAAGGTTAATGTTTAAAGGAGTAATACTTATAAGATTGGGATAGTGCTGAGTGGTTGATGTTCTGCTGATTTCAGCTATAAAATGTTCTTTTGGTGAGCAGAAAAACAATTTGCTTTCATTACAGTACACTGTAATTCTCAAGGTCAACTGAATTCTGAAAACATGGACTCAAAATGTGAAAAGAATTAGTATCCTGTTTAATATTTGTGAGGATAAAGTAATAATCAGAATTGATTGAGAGTTATACTGAGTTTTAAAGCTAATTCAGGAGATCAGTTAACTCTAGTTTGATACCACAGTTCACAGGTATTTGGTTCTGTTTTTTATGACAGGTTTTTAAAAGGGAAAACTTTTCATAGGCCATGTTTACAATCATATCTTAAGCTCTGACAATTTAAACAGAATACATGCATACACTTTATCTAAATGTACATTTTTGTGTGACTAAGATTAATTTACTTAATGAGAATCTAACCTATAATGTGAGTACTACACATTATACATTAGAGTTGTCTTTGTATAATTTTTAGTGTGTCTTTGTCCTATATATGTCTTTGTAATATTCATTCAGTGGGTATAGTAATATCACAGTTAATGTAAGGTCAGTTTTCCAGAAACCCAAAGCATCACAAATGTACTCTTTCAACTAGTACCATAAACAAAAAAAAATTTTTTTTTTTTGAGTCAGAGTCTCACTCTCTTGCCCAGGCTGAGTGCAGTGGCATGGTCTTGCCCACCGCAACCTTGACCTGCTGGGCTCAGGCAATCCTTCTGCTTCAGCCTTCCAAGTAGTTGAAACTACAGGTGTGTACTACCTGGCTTAGTTTTTGATTTATTGTAGAGACGAGGCCTCACCAAGTTGCCCAGTCTGGACTTGAACCCCTGGACTCAGGCAATCCTCTCACTTTGGCCTCCCAAAGTGCTGGGATTACAGGCTTGAGACACTGTGCCGTGCCAACAAACTGTTTTTTAAACAATGAGTAATAAAATGAGAAAGCTTTTATATGATATGTGTACTTTCTTTTAGGATTATTCTCTTCTCTTAAAAGTTCGTGATTTTCTTTACATATCCCTCTAATCAAGTTGGAAGAATATAGAAAATAAATAAACAGCAAATGGATATCATAGAACAATTTGCTGTTACTGGCTAGGACAGGATGCAAGAAGAATGAAATTGAGTGATTACTGTAAATGCATAAGATTATGTAGTTCCCCAACATCTTTCTATCGAGGCATCCTTTCAGGGCTACATGTCCTCATTGACCACATACCCAAATACTTGTTCTTTTATTCCCCCACCATAGTATCATGTCTGATAGTCTCATTTACCTTTTGTCCTTAATTTCTTGAATCTATTGTATCCCTTCTCTTTCTGCTCCTAAAATTCTTTCTAGATTTATGAACTACAGACTTATGAACTTTAAGTGGTCTTTCTTAACTTCATCCTTTTCTTGAGGAATAAGTGTATGAAATACTCAATATTTGCTGTAAGTGCTTATCAGTTCTTCCCAGATTTTTTTTTTTTATTGGAACAGAAGCAAAACCAAAATAAAACTAAGTAGAGGAGAAAAAATTGCACTTCATTTCACTATTAAAATAATGATTAGCATTATGTGAATTTTATGTGAAACTTGAAAAATATACATATTTGATTTTTCTGTTTATTGGGTTTTTTGGCATCAACATAGGATATGCAAACAGAAATGTTATTAAGCAATTTCTTACAAGTGCTATTTGAAATTTTTCAGGCTGCTATCCATGTCCAGGGCCAAACATGAATCCTATCGCTCTTGGGAGCCGCTGGCTTGCTTATGCAGAAAACAAGGTAAGGCATGGTCTGTGTTTGGATTCTTTTTAATGGATCAAGTGGTGGAATGATTTTTAATAATGAATATCTATGCTCCATAGCTGATTACAAGCAATGAATGTTTGACTTACTAGTTCATTTGGTTTGGCTTGGTTTTAATTTTGCAGTGAATAATTGAACACTTTTAAGGATTCATATTGAACGCTTTTAAGGATTCATAAATTTGGCAGTTGTCCTTAAGACTGTAGAATCTTAATTTTTGAAAAATTTATTTTAGTTCAGGGGTACAAGTACATGTTTGTTACATGGGCATATTGCATACTGATGGGGATTGGAATTCAGGTGGCCCCTTTCCCCAGATAGTGAACATTGTACCCAATACGTAACTTCTCAGTCCTAATCTTCCTCTTTTCATACCCCCTATCAGTGTCCCCAGTGTCTATTATTTCCTTCTTTATGACCATATAGTTTCCGCATGTAAGTGAGAATATGCCTTGTTTAGTTTTCTGTTTCTGAGTTAGTTCAGGATGATATAGAACCTTAAATTTTTAGACTTACTTTTATATAGAGAATTTTGGCCCATTATTATTAAAGCACAGCATTGAGGTGATCATAATAGTGGTATTAAAGTCAGCATTTTCTGACTTTTTAGAAATCAGGAGGCAAGCATGATTTTTGTCTTCCTTGGTAAATTGGAAACCTGGGCAAAAATTAACTTGACTTTATGCACCAACAACTATATCTAAACAAGGGTTCAGCTATTTAATAATTAAATCACACATGTTCACATCTTGTTGAATTTTTAATTATTGGTCAATTTATTAAGATTATTATAGTAAGCGAAGGTATGTTTATGCACTAAGAATTTTATTTGTGTCTAATTCAAGGCAAGAGATCAATTTAAATTCTTAAAAAGAAAAGATATTCTTTGAGCTTAAGCTTCAAGTTTAAAAAAAAAAAAGAAAAAAAATACTTTTTATACCATTTTGTACCCTGCATGTGAATATAGAATGAAATCTAAAAACTATTACAGACATCAAAGATGAGTATTTTTGGCTTCATTTTTGCTGGTTGCATGGTTACTGTAGTTTGGGAATAATATGAATTAATATGAAATAGTTCTTGACAAAAATAGGATGTATTGAGTAAGGTAATTATTTGGTGGAGCCACAGAACTAATAAATATCTAGTCTCTGGAATGTACAAAATCAAGAAACTACTGAAAAAAATTATTTTTCTAGGTGAATTCCTTGATAACTTATCCATAAGTCTGTCTGCAACTGTTAGATATTTTGCATCTTACTGAATGCTGTATTTATTTTCCATCCTGTTTCCCCCGCTTGATTTCCTAGTATATATCATAAAAATAACTCTTTTCTTTCTTTTTTTGAGTTGGAGTCTCACTCTGTCACCCAGACTGGAGTGCAGTGGCACGCTCCCGGTCACCATAGCCTCAATCTGCTGGGCTCCTGTGATCCTTCTGCCTCAGCCTTCCAAGTAGCCAGAACGACAGGCGCATGCTACCACACCCGGCTAATTTTTGATTTATTGTAGAGATGAGGTCTAGCCAAGTTGCCTGGGTGGGTCTCGAACCTGCGGGATCAGGCAATCCACTCGTCTCGGCCTCCCAAAGTACTGGAATTACAAGCTGAGTCACTGAGCCCAGCCTCAAAATAACTCTTTTCAAATTATTCTTTTCTTTTTGAGTTGGAATCTCACTGTGTCACCCAGGCTTGAACGCAGTGGTATACTCACAGCCACCCCAGTGTAGACCTGCTGGGTTTAGGCGATCCCTCTGCCTCAGCCTTCCAAGTAACCGGAACTACAGGTTCACACTACCACACCTGGCTGATTTTTGATTTATTGTAGAAAGGAGGTCTCACCGAGTTGCCCGGGCTTGTCTTGAACCCACTGACTCAGGCAATCCACTCACCTTGGCCTCCCAAAATGCTGGGATTACAGGCTGAGTCACCAAGCCTGGCCAAATTATTCTTTTCAAACAAGACAAGAGGCATACAATTAGGTTTGGTGACATAATGATTTTTTAACACGTTTACATCTGTGTTACATCTCCCTTGTGTACTGAAGACATCCAAGAAAAAGATGTGTAAATTCTCTCTTGGCTTTTGTGAATGTATTCACACATGTGGGAAACTGCCCTTATGGAATTGGAAGTATTATGTAAATAGTTACATATTATTTTTGAGGGGCAAGAACTCTCTTCATAGATGCATAACCTGATTATGCACCAGTCATTTCTGCTTTTCAGAGATACACGTTAATATCTGGTGTCATATGCAAAGACCAGACAGTGTAGTGGCATTCACAAGGAGTTTGCTAATCAAATGATTATGCCATTATCTAGAAATATTTCTTACATAGTGTTTCCATAAGAGCTAGTATTTATTTTATTAGTTTCTGATAGGTTTTAGATTTTGGACTGAGTGTGAAGTTGTAAAATTGAATAAAATTTTAGAGTAACAATTCTTCAGTGAAAGAAACTCTTTGACTATAAAAATCTTAAGCAAGAAGTCATATATCTTGATGGGTTTTTTTATTGCCTCTTTTTAAAAAATGTACTTTTAAGAATAAGTATAGTAAAAACAGCCCAAAGCATACCCATGTACCCTTTATTCAGGGTGACATCTGAACCATTTCAGAGCAAGTTGCATTTATTATTACCTTTAAATACTTCAGTCAATTTCATATTGTTAAAATAATTTTGTCTAATCTACCATCCATATTCCACTTTTGTCTATTAACCCTTTGATGTCATTTGTAAAATTTTCTTTTCCTTTAGTGGAATCTGATCTAGGATCAGGTATTAGACTTGATTGGAATGTCTCTTTACACTTTAAAAATATGTTTTAAACAGGTTTTTCTTCTTTTACATCATTGATGACTTTTAAGAGTATAGCTCCCTAACTCTATCCGTGGTTCTTTTTTTTTCCCCCATAGAATGATTTTTTATCTTGAGTTTATTTGATATTTTCTCTTGATTATATTCAGATTATGTATTTCTGGCCAGAATGCTACGTGTGTAATGTTCTCACAGCATCACATCTGGAGGCACATGATATACATCTTTTGTTTTTTGGCAATGTCAATTTTGCCAAGGTGTTATCCAGTTTGCATACTGAATAATCACTTTTTTTTTTGAGTCAGAGTCTCACTGTGATGCCCAGGCTTGCATGGCCTCAGCCTACCAAGTAAGGTGGAACCACAGGCTTGTGCTGCCATGCCCGGCTAATTTTTTTTTTTTTTTTTTATTGCAGAGACTAGATCTTGCCAAGTTGTTCAGGCTGATCTCCAACCCCTGGGGTCAGGCAATCCTCTTGCCTCAGCTTCTCAAAGTCCTGGGATTACAGGCATAAGCCACCACACCTGGCTATCTCTGTTTTTTAAAATTTAAAAATCACTTGCAACAAATAAGCAACTTGGGGAGATCCTGCTTTTTTGTTTTTTTCATAAAAATTCCAGAGTATCTTTAGCATTCATGCATGATTCTTGCCTGAACCAGTTTTTACTATAATCCTTGCAAAATGATTTTCTTCCTTTACCCTCCACATTTACCAGTAGGCACTTGGCTTTATTAAATCTTATTTGTCTTTTTGTTGTTATTGTTGCTTGTTCTTTTAGGATCTTAGTCATAAATTCTTTGCCTAGACCAACATCTAGAAGAGTTTTCACTAGGTTTTCTTTTAGTGTTTTTATAGTTTCTGGTCTTCTGTTTAAGTCTTTAGTCCTTTTTAGTTGATTCTTTTGCATGGTGAGAGGTAGGGTTCCAATTTCATTCTTCTGTGTATGGCTATCTAATTTTCTCTGCATCATTTACTAAAGAGGGTATCTTTCCCCCAAAGTAAGCTATTGATGGCTTTGTCAAAGTTCAGTTTGCTATAATTATGTAGCTTTATTTCTGGCTTCTCTATTCTATTCCATTGGACTGTGTCAGCTTTTATACCAATATCAAGCTGTCTTGGTTACTATAGTCTTGCAATATATTTTGAAGTCAGGTTTCAAGACATGTTTTCATTTCCAACTTATTTTCTTTTGTTGACCCAAAGGTCTTTTAGAGCATGTTTATTTTATGTGTATTTATATAGTTTCCAGAGTTCTACCTTGTATTGATTTCTAGTTTTAGTCCATTGTGGACTGAGAAGATACTTGATATAATTTCAGGTTTTTTAACTTTTTTTGAACCTTGTTTCATAGCCTCACATAAGGTTTATCCTGTGCCCTGTGCTGATGAGAAGAATGTGCATTCTGCAGTTGGTTGAAATATTCTGTAAATGTCTATAGGGTCCATTTGGTATAAAGTTCACTTTAAATCCCATTTTTCTTTGTTGGTTTTCTAACCAGATGATTTGTCTAATGCTGGTATGGTGTTAAAGTTACCCATTATTATTGTATCCCAGTCTGTCCCTTTCTTTAAATTTAGAAATTTAATTTGCTTTATGAATTTTGGTGGCCCAGTCTTTAGGTGCATATATATTTAGAATTGTTATATCCTCTTGCTGGATTGATCCCTTTATCATTATAAAATGACCTACTTTTGTTGTTTTTTTCTGATGTCAGTATAGCTACTCCTGTTTGCTTTGGTTCCCCTTTGTTTGAAATGTCTTTTTTCATCTCTTTACTTTCAGTCTATATATGTCTTTAATGGTAAGGTGAGTTTCTTGTAAGATTGGGTTATGGGTTTTAAAAAAATCCATTCAGCTATTCTGTATCTTTTAAGTGGAGAATTTAACTCATTTATATTCAAAGTTGTTACTGTCATATTGAGATTTTGTTCCTGTCATATTGTTCCTTTTTTTCTGGTTGTTTTATATTTTCTTTGATTCTTTTTTATTGTTATTTTTTACATTTATTGTTTAATATGGTTTGGTGGATTTCCATAGTCCTTTCTCTTTCTCTCCTTTATGTGATTGCTTTATTAGTGAGTTTTATACTTTCATGTATTTTCATGATGGTGAACGTCCTTTCACCTACAGGTTTTGGACTCCCTTGAGCCTTCTTTTTTTTGCAGGGATATCTAGTGGCAATGGATTCCTTTAGCTTTAGTTTGTCTAGGAAATGCTTTATGAAAAATGTTGTTGGGTATGGCATTCTTGACTTATAGTTGGCTTTTTTTTTTTCCCCTTCTTTTAGCACTTTGTATACATTATCCCATTTTCTTCTGGCCCCTAAGATTTCTGCTGAGAAATCTGCTGTTTGTCTGATGTGGTCTCCTTCGTATATGGCTAGATACTTTACTCTTGCTGTTTTTAGGATTTGCGCTTCACCTTTGACTTAGACAGTCTGAATAGAAAATGTCATGGAGAAGACATTTTTTCATTGTATCTTTCTGGGGATTGCTGAACTTCCTGTATCTGAATGTCTAAATTTCTTGTTAAGACTTGGGAAGTTTTTGTCTACTTTTTTCACTATATAGATTTTCTAATCTTTTCTCTCTTTCTTCACCCTCAGGCATACCAATAGTTTGGATATTTGGTCACTTTATATTGTCCCAAATGTCATGGAGGCTTTGTTTATCCTAAAAGTTGTTTTTTTTGACTGACTGGATTATTTCAAAAGACCTATTTTCAAGTTCTGAGATTCTGTCTTCTGCCTGATCTAATCTATTGTTGAAGCTGTGAAATTTATTTTGTATTTATTTCAATGTATTTTTTAGTTATGGAATTTCTATTTGCTTTCAAAAAATACACTTCTCTTTGGTAAATTTCTCATTCATTTCCTGCCTTTTTCTGATTTCTGTGTGTTATTTTTCACAATTCTCTTGTATTTCACTGAAATTGTTCAAAATTAATATTTTGAATTCCTTATCTAGAATTTTAAACATTCTTTTTGATTAAGCTCTATTACTGGATAATTAATGTTTTGCTTTGAAGGATCATTTAAAAAAATTTTCATGTTTCCTTTGTCCTTAACATTGATATCTGCATATCTTCTATAACTTTTTTCCTAAAATTTTAGAATATACTCTTGTATGGGAAGATGTTTTCCTGAAAATGTATCTATGGTTTTGGTTGGGTACGGCACTTTGGCTTTGATTGTGGGTGTATGCAGTAGTGTAGTGTTTGTATGACTTTTTTTTTCTTAGTTGTATTCATAGTGAATTAGGATGTGGTTATCAGTGGCAGCTGTGGTGAAGTTATTCTAAAGACTGGAATGCCAGGTTGGCTGGTCTTCAGAACACAGTGGTGGCAGCAGTGGGCTGAGCATCCCTATCTTTGTGCCCTATACCAGTGTATGCTGATTCCTGGGCCTCCAGGTGGTTTGCTCTGTCACTAGTAGCGGCAGGGGTGGACTGGTCAGGTTGTCTAGTTCTCTGGCCTTTGGGCAGTAAGTGTTGCCTGGACAATGACAATAGCAGTCATTGGTTCTCAGTAGCAGCAATATGATTTTGTGGATCTCAAGTGGTGTATGTTGATGTTGGCAGTGGCAGGAATGGGCTGGGTGGGCCATTATCCATTTCTGCTGGTGGAACTTTCTGGTAGGTGCCAGCTCAGGTGGTAGTAGCCCAGAGATTAGGCCTAACCTCAGGCCCCTGGGAGGTGTGCTTAAGGTTCCCAAGGTGGTAGATTGGGTTGGGCAATTTCCAGGAGCTTGGGTTATGTGCTCTGCTTTCCTTTTTTTTGGGGGGGGGTAAGGGATGGTGGGGAGGCCAGGCTGATTGGGCTTGTCCTGAGATACCCCAATGGGGAGAGCAGTTCACCAGCCATAGTGGGTGTGGGCAGGGTGACCATCGGGCCCCAGGATTAGTACCTGAGTGAGGGATGTTAGTGGATGCATTTGAGGTCCTGCCACTGGAGAGTGTGAGGCTAGCTGCAGTGACCACAGCTTTGCTGGCAGGTGGGTACATGTAACTCTCTCACACTGCAGTCCTGATGGGACTCTTCCCTGATTGCAGGTGCCTCTCTCTCCTGCTCACAACCAAATCCCAGGAGCAGGTCATGCTGCTTGCTTGTGACCCAGTCTCTGTACTGGCAGTGCTTGCTTCCTACCACTAGTGACTGTAGCCCATGCCTCTCTTGCTTCTCAGTGCTGGCTGACGGAGCACTCTAAGCTCATGCCTTAGTCTCAGCAGCAACACCTCAAGTTTCCCTAATGCCTCAGTCCCAGCACTGTTGGGCCCCAGGACGGTGTGCAGTCTGCCAAAGTCTGGGCTTGAAAATAGTGCTTTACTGTAGCCACTTAGGTCTCAGAAAGAGTGTGGGACCTAGCACAAGCTCCCTCCCTGGAGCAGTTCTATCCTTCGGTCTCCTCTCAGCTCCCCATGTTACTTTTAGGGCTTAAGAGGGTCTTGGGAGCTCTCCTGGGGCCAGTATTGCATGACTCCACAGTGAGTGTGTGGGCTAATGGAAGTCTCTTATTCACCTATGTTCAACTTTGGGATGTCACTCCTGGTTTCCAGCCAATTCTGGCTAAACAGGCAGGCTGCCTGTCTTCCTAATCTCCCACCCCACTTTTGGTGTTTCCTGTCACTTCTCTATTGAATTCCAGCATTTTCTCTTGGATAATGTATTTGAAGTGTGATTGTTTATGCACTTTTTTGATTCTTCTAAGTGGAGGAGATGAGCATAAAATGCTTCTGGTCAGCCATCTTGTCCAAAGTCTTTATTTTCCTGTTTTGTAAAAGATAACATAATAATATGCTCTTTGGTAAGTTTTTTTTGTTTGTTTGTTTGTTTGTTTTTCTTAGCAACATTTTCTAGAAATTAGTCCATTTGATAGAGTTTTGCACTATAGAGAATTTTGACTCATCTTTAATTATATTGAACCAAGATACAAATGTAGTGCATGCATGGTGGCTCATGTCTATAATCCCAGCTCTTTGGGAAGCCAGGGTGGAAAGTTTGCTTGAGCCCAGGAGTTTGAGACCAGCCTGGGCAACATAGGGAAGCTTCATCTTCTACCCCCCAGCAAAAAAAAACTCCAAAGAATTCAACACTTTAAGTGGATGTAGTGGCACATGCCTGTAGTCCCAGCTTTTTGAGAGACTGAGGCGAAAGGATCTCTTCAGCCCAGGAAGTCAAGGCTATGGTGAGCTGTGATTGTGCCACTGCAGTGCTGCCTGGATGATAGATGTGATACCTACTCAAAAAAAAAAAAAAAAAAAAGGCAACCCCCCTCGAGTCCCCTCCCACTGTGGGAACTTTTCTGTCCTCTCAATAAATCCTGCTTCCCGCCCCCCTCCCAAAAAAACCCATAAATGCAATATTCTGATGAGTTTAGACTTAGTTATTTTTTTGTAGAAATGCTGGCTAGGTTGTAGTTGAATTTAAAAGTTATGAATGTTGTTTATTTTTACATATTTGTTCTTGAATATCTTAATACCTGAAGCAGGGAATAAATGATAACCTTTCTGAAAAATTGTCTTTCTTTACTCATACAGCAGGAGGCAGCAGAGGGATAATTTTCATTATTCTTTGAATTGCATATTGTGGATGAATGAGTGAAAATGATTCTTTTTATTAGCTAAAATGATCACTTTTCATATTCTTTATTTTCCTCTGTGTGAAACTACATTTTCTGATCACCTGTCATTTGGAAACTTACTAATTACTCCCCTTGAAATCTACCTAAGGTAGTCATTCAGTGTAGTATAGCAAAGATTTTCTAAAATATATCTTGATGTTACATATCGAACTTTTTAAGGTGTTCCTTTCTGTTATAATACATTAATATTGCTTTGACAGATTTTTAAAAAAATAATGTCAGTTACGAAGAAATTTTGATTAAGAATAGAAAGATTACCTGTTACTCTTCATCAAAGGAGCTGGTTTTTAACTATATGAAGCATTTTTAATTTTTGTGTTTTGGGAGATGTAGATTCTTTGTAAAAAATTCAGATTACAATGTGGTACTGTCCTAATTCTCTACTCTTGTCATTTTATTTTATTTTTTTACAAAATTTTAAACATATAAATTTAATAATTATTATTATTTTTTGCTAACTATAGGAAGGGTGGGGCCAGTGGAGAATTTAATCCTGGTTTATTACTTAGCATGTGAGAGAAACATGCATATCAAATCATGCATATTGTCCCTAATGGTAAAAGCAGTAAACCCTATGAAGTGGACAGCTAGTATGTGTCACAGTTGATTTATGCATAATTTGTGCCATTTTTCCACTGACACCAATTGAAAATGCAAGTATTGCAGAATCTTTTGTCTATTTTTTATGTTTCCTTTTACAATTTTTGTGGAGGAATTAAGAGGGCAAAACATCCAATTTGTTAGCATGTCAAATATTTAATGTTAGGAAGTCATGTGTAAGTCCTTTGATTATGTTTTTAAATTTTATTTGTAGAATGGCTTCCAGATACTAAATCCTACCATTTTCAGAGTTTATGAATTCTTAAAGACTATTCATCTTGTAATTAAAACTGTAGTTGAGCGTGAAACTGCCTGAGTGGCACCAGCAAATTTTAAAAGGGGGAAAAGTGTCTCAGCAGGGCTTTTAGTTGTTTGTCTGAAATATACTTATGCAAACATTCCCACCCACCACCATCATTATGCATGGTAAATAAACTCTATTCTAATATTCTGTAGAATTAAACAGTTTAATAGAAATTTCTTTCTCAGTCTCTGTCTCTCCCTCTCTCTTTTTTTTTTTTTCTTAGTTGATTCGATGTCATCAGTCTCGTGGTGGAGCCTGTGGAGACAACATTCAGTCTTATACCGCCACAGTCATTAGTGCTGCTAAAGTGAGTACCTCAGAAATCCCTGGGAGTTGTGATTATGCAGAGTAATTATTAGGTTTCTCCTCTAAATTTTATTGAGATTGTCTCTTTCATTTTTATTTATCAATGTGAAATAAACTTAATAAGTAAGTCACTGTTTTTTGTAACTTAAGAGTATCGGTGACTACAGATTTCATATTTAATCTCTCAAGGTTCACAGATATGTACTTTATTTTTGTTGTAATGATAGTAAGGTTTGTGCTTGTCCAATTTTAAATATTTAAATGTGTTAGCTAGTTTAAAGTCTGCTATCTAATTTATACCACATTTGAAAGAAAGTTTACATATTTTAAAGAAATTTTGCATTCTTTGTGATTTGCATTATTCTACCTATACTGGCATCCCTTTCATCTTTGAACATTTCTGAATCTTCTTCACATGAAAGAATATTATTTCTTGTGAAAACTTGAGTCAGTCCTTTGGCACCTTCAAAGATACTTTCATATGAAGGGGTTGCCCCCTTCATGTTTGTCAAGTGAGTTCTTTTTTGTGTGTGAGAGTTAATTTTGATGATGACTGGTAAACTTTATGCTGATTATAAGGTATTCTTACAACCACCATTCTTTTGAATTGTGAAGTATACAACAAAACAAATCTAATAATAGAAATGACAGAGTGAATCTAAATGATAGCATGTAATAGAAAGCACAACTATTCAGAAAAGAACAACAGTTTAAAGCAAGCCACAGGGAGGGAATCAAAGATCACACTGTTTTATGTATAACAAATACAGAAATACTTCAAGATTGATCACAGATGCTTATATGATGTGCTTTAGAATGCGTTTCTTGGTTTGATGAGAGAAGCATTGTGTGTGTTTTACTCAAAAGAGAATTAACAAATATATCTTTATGCTTATAGCAGTATGTGTTTTAGATTTCAGAAATCTTAATAAAGTTTGCTTGCTTTTCTCCATTGTCTGTGCAAAAAATTATGATGGTTATTTCAATGAAGAGTGACCTAAGAGTACTTAGGAAATGTCTTCAGTGTTAGTCTATTAGTTTAGTCACAAAATATAACAATTAGACTGCTTTTAGACTTATCTTCCTCATATACTTGGTCTAGGATAGCTCATCATATTACTATTTTGAGTAATTTTCAATTATAGTATAGAGGATAACTCTTCAACTTTTGTTTGCTATTATTATGTGTTTGTGTGCTTACATAAAAAGACTGTGATACTTTTCTTTCAATAAGTGTTTTGGCCGGGCTTGGTGGCTCAGCCTGTAATCCCACGCCTTTGGGAGGCTGAGGTGAGTGGATTGCCTGAGCCCGTGGGTTCGAGACCTGCCTGGGCAGCGAGATCTCATCTCTACAATAAATAAAAAAAAATCAGCTGGGTGTGGTAGCACATGCCTGTAATTCTGGCTACTTGGAAGGCTGAGGCGGAAGGATTGCTGGAGCCTAGCAGGTCGAGGCTGCGGTGGCCGGGAGCGGCCACTGCACTCCAGTCTGGGCGACAGAGTGAGACTCCAACTCAAAAAAAAAAAAAAAGGTGTTTTGTTGTTGACATGCTGGAATGAGGCTAGACTTAAAATATTCTGAAAATAACAAGTGCGAATTTCTCACTTTTCCATACCTCAATATTAGAACTGTGAGGCACATATTTGTGTCTTCTGCATATAAGTATTTACGAAATTTTGTAATATAACACCTAATCTAATTTCCAGTAGGCCATTGGACACCAGTAGGTTGATTGAATCCATTGTAAATTCTGGCAGTATATAAAACTCTGCCATTAATTTTTTTTTTTTTGAGTCAAAGGTCTCACTCTGCAACCCAGACTGAAGAGCAGTGGCATGATCATGGCTCACTGCAGCCTCAAAATCCTGAGCTCAAGCAATCCTCCCACTTTGGCCTCCAAAAGTTCTGGGATTATAGGCGTGAGTTACCAAAACTGGCTGTGGTTAACTTTTGAATAAAGTGAATAATACTTAATTTAAGTCTGTTGCTGCCTGCTTTTAATGATTATTCACCTTCATGGTGTGGATTTACAAAATGAAGGAAAAAACCCAGTCATGAACATTAAAGTTACTCAGTTTTTGGTAGCAAGTATGTATTTGTATGTATACATATACATTTACATGTTTAACTTTTGGAAACACTTTCAGTTTAATCATATGTTGTATCCTGACCTTTTATGTTTAACTAAGATGTCACTAAATATTTTTGAAGACTGGGTGAGGGTGGCTCACGCCTATAATCCCAGCACTTTGGAAGGCCAAGGTGAGAGGATTGCCTGAACCCATGGGTTCGAGACAAGCCTGGGCAACTTGGCGAGACCTCATCTCTACAATAAATTTTAAAAATTGGCCAGCCATGGTTGCGCATGTCTGTAGTTCCAGCTACTTGGAAGACTGAGACAGAAGGATTGCCAGAGCCCAGCAGGTTGAGGCTGCAGTGGCTGTGGGCGTGCCCCTGCACTCCAGCCTGGGAGACAGAGTGAAACTCTGACTCAAAAAAAAAAAAAAAAAAAAGTTTTTTTTGGGAAAACTTTTTTATATTCATATGTTTTTTATAATCACTTTTTTTCATATCCACATAATATTGAACTCCTGAGTTAGAGAGGAACATTTTAAGCCTTTAAAATACATACTGTCTTATTATTTTATTAAAACTCCTTCCAGACATAGAGGGATCCTTCATTTTACTTTCAAGGTGTGGGTATCTTATATAGAGAAGACTGAGGCATTGGAATTATTTCTCCCCTTAAATAGTAATTTCTTCCAGTAAGGTATTGGATATTACTTGCATTTCATTTAGCCTTCTGAGGTATAAGACAGTTCCACTTTTGCATGGTAACTACGTCAAAATGACTTCTCTAATTAAGTAGCATAATTCTAAATATATTCTTTGTTCTTGTTACTAATACTTTATGGGTTATACTATGATTAGTGTGTTGACTTGTGAAAATTTATTACACATGTAATTCTTGAATTTTTCTTTTAAGGGAGTATAAAATTACTTAAAAAAAACTCACAAAGATGTCTTCAGACCTATAAATCTTCTACAGAGAATTCTGTCTAGCACTTAAGAATAAACAAACAATGGCAATATTACAAAGACTCTTCTAGAGAATAAGAAAAGTCAGATTGTACCTAATATTTTAAGATGTCAGATCACCTTAATACCAAACTTTTAAAAAGCATAATAAAAAAGGAAAACTACAGTCTTGTCTAACTCATGAACATAGATGTGAAAAATTCTAAACAAATCATTAACAGAATGCTATAGGAAGTATAATGTGTTACAATTTATTTGGGGGTAATTCTACAATATAAGGCTGGTTTATGACTTAAGACCAATGAGTGTAATTTGCACTTTTTACAGGACAAATATTATGTGCTTATCTTAATAGATGAATAAAAAGTATTTGATGAAATTGAACATATGTTCCTTGATAAAACCTGGTCCAGTATTTACTAGTTATCAAACTTGTTTAAACACAGTAAACCTGGTCATATTAAAGTCTTTTTGTTGCAGTGGCACATGCCTGTAATGCTAGCACTTTGCTTGTAGTGGCATGTGCCTGTAGTCTCAGCTACTCTAGAGGCTGAGGACGAAGGATCACCTGAGCCCAGGAGGTTGAAGCTGTGGAGAGCCGTGATCATGCCACTGCACTCCAGTCTGGGTGCTAGAGGGAGACCCTGACTCTAAATAAATTAATAAACAAATAAATAAAGTCTTTGATAACTCTAATATCTGGTGACAGAGTTAGATCCTGACTCTACTAAATACATAAGCAAAGTCTTTGCCAACTCTAATGTCTGGGTTCCTTTTAGGTCTATTTCTGTTTGTTGTTTCTACTGGTTCTCATTTATGATGTCTCAACTCCTTGTTTGCCATAATTTATTTCAACAACGTTTAGAAACAATTTAGAGTTTGGGATGATAATGGAATTCTGGGACACTATCACTCTTGTGTCCTTACAATTCAGTTTCAGAGACTGAGATCATTTATATTATTTAAATGAGGCTCATCTGAAATAGTTGTGCTTCTAATTGTATACTTATGTTCCAACCCAAAGCTTGGAGGGAATATCACTGGGTAGACCCCTTTGGCAGGCCTTTGATGCTCTAATATATGACCTTCCTGGTTCCATAAGTCTATCAAAAACACCACTTAGTTCCTTAGCAGCCCCTCATAGAATCGACAGATTTCTTCAGGCCTAAATGCCCAGCTAAAATGTCTGGATTTCCTTGTTCTTTTGTATTTTGACCTAGTGTTGCTTCACTGTCTTGTTGAATATTCAGTACCTTCAAATAGCATTTAACAAAAATACTCTCTTTAGTTTTCTTAGTTTTTCTCATTGGTAGAGTTCTGATTTACCTAGACTGTCATTATGGAAAATCGGAAATATGTTTTTTTTTAACCATTTTTATTATTTCTAGATAATAGGTTGTTTGAGCTATAACATGGAAACTATGAAAAAAACTGTCATTTGTGTTCCTTAAGAAAAATACTTATCTTAAAATAATTGTGTAGTTATTTCATTGTTAAATCACTTTCTATGTAATAGTAATCATTACTCTTTTACTTTTTTGATGACGGTTCCTTATGTGGCTGTTTAACCACTTTGTCATATAGAAGGATTCATTATTAATTTTTTTGTTTTTAACTTTTTGTCTTACGGTACAGTTGTGAGGATAAATATATTCATTGCATATGCATGTGAAGCTCTTTAGAGGAAATAATCTCTTTTTACGTTTTCTATATTTGCAAGTAATACTTGTATAATATCCATGCTATTACCATGTTTCTTTGATTTTCATAATTAATTTGACTTTCCTTCTAAAGAATATGAAAGTGATGTATTTTCTATGGCAGTGATAAAGGAAAAAATACTGAACTGGTTCAAATGAGATTATTTGACATATTTATAAAATCTTGGTCTGTATTTTCTAGTTCCCTCATTACTGTCTTATTTTAATGTGTTTTCACCTCAGTGTGGTCAATTGATTTAATAAAAATGCCTGTGTTTTCTCTTGTTATCTGATAACTTCTTAATGACAACTAACAGCTTTTGTGAGAGCAGCACCATTAGCACTAATGGATAGGGAGGACAAATGATATGGCATGGGAAAGGTTAAAGATGACTAGTGACCCCTTGGCAAATGTGCTTGCACCAGAACAGAATAAGTACCATGCTCATTTGAATTATAGGTCATAACGGATTTTCTCACACTTTCGTTATAGTCTAATGTTCAGCTGTCTTATAGCTACAGTTTAGTTCTGTGAGTACTCTTGTAATGATTAATTGGTGATTTAATGATCTTTTGAATTTAGATCCCTCAGATTGTGAAGACAAGCAGTCTCATTTATCATCTCCATTTGTCCAAGTTAGATTTCTCTATTCATACATTTTGCTTAGCCTTTATAATTTTTTTGTATGTATTTGAGAAAATTATCACATATGTACATAACCAATCTACTAAAATCAAGTGGAAAGACAGATTACTGTGAGGTGATTTAGATTTCTAAATATGGTATGTGAGGGCTGTTTAATAACATTATAGAGTACTTCTGGACACTAGTGCTTATAGATGTGTTTGATTCTAAAAGACCTAAAAGCAAAGATTTTTTTTTCTAATGCAGAAAACTTCTAGCACTCCTCTCTCATCTCCATTCCCCATCTAGTGAATAAGCTATGATAAATAGCATTATCTTTAACTTACTAAACAATTACATATTTGATGACTGTTAAATTTTGAGTTAAATTTTTTGTCCACTAATAAGATGACTCTATCAATGTCCATAGTTTTTTTGAAGAAATATCATAAAATATGAGGCCCTGATTGTGAAATATACTACTGCTTTTTTCCTCTTTGTGGATCATTTCACTGGTTCTCTTATGTTAACTTTTACTGTTATCTTGTTGTTTGCTTTGGTACATTACTTTCCACTTTTTATGTGCTCCAGTTCTTTTACTTTTATTCCTATTCATTGGTATAAGAGCATGAAATAATAGGCTTGGGGCAAATGGGAAGGATATACAACCAAAGACTTTAAAACTAAAAGGCATTCCTTTGATAAAGGGATAGCTACATTTAAGTGGGAGCATCTCCATTAGCATTAATGGAGTGAGTACATCAGCTGAGGCATCTCAGAGGTTAATCAGGCTTCCTGGCCTGCTCATGACATCAATACACTGTGGCGCCTGATTTTGTTGGTTCTTCAGAAGCTTACTCAACAACACTCTAACAGACTTTGTGTAAGTCATTTCTTGTGAATTATTGAAAGAAACATTTGGCTGCTAATTGAGGAACGCTAATGTGTTTTATAATCACTGCAGTATGAGTTTTTAGCACTAAACAAAACAGTTACAATTGATTTGTGGCTTTTTCTTGGTTTTGGTCTGCTGTAAGGTGTATCTTTTTGTTTGAATTCCGTAGATGGCTTTGCTGGTCATTTAAGTATTTATTTGAGTATTTGTTCGTACATTACTATGGTTCTGAATTTTTACTCTTTTCCCTCACATTAGACATCTGTGTTTTGTATTCATTAACTGTGAGATCACAAGTAGTTGTAGAAACAGATTGCAAGGCAGCAGTACAAGACAGTGGTTAAAAATCAGACTTTGGAGACAGACCTAGTTTTGAATTCTGACTATGTCATTGGGTAGCTGTTTGAGCTACCATTTTACTTAACTTTCCTAGCCTCAATTTTCTCTTCTATAAAATTGAAGTATCTGAGGAAATCTGTAGACATAGTTTCTATTAAGAGCCTTGACAGTCCCTACTCCATAGAAAAGACACCACGTAACATAGATACAGTAAAAGTGCTGCTAATGGTAGTTATATGGTGTTTCAATAGAAAATTTATTTAGAAAATACTCTTTCAGTTTTAATCTATTGTTGGACCTTTATAAACAACTATCTGCATTCAATTTATAAATTAAAATTTGAAATACCATAGATACAATAATTTATATTTTGAAATGTAACTGTACTGTATGCCAGAATTAGGTGGAAATAGTGTTCTCATAATTATTTTGGAAAAGGTAGTTTTTAAATGAAGTTTAATTTGAAGTCTTTTAATAACATTTTTTTCTTAGAGCATGAGGATTGGAAAATGTATCTATTATTTAAAATGTAATTTTTGATATGTCTGTATTCTAGGCTGCCTGTTTTTTCTCTAATGAGGTTACTTTTCTTCAGCAATTCATGACTCACATGATTTTCTCATTGTTTTAACTCTCTTCCTTTTCAGGTGAAAAAACCTATTACTTTAAAAAATATTTTATTAATACATATGAAGATAATCAGATGAAATTTACATGTAAAAATATTACAGGAGTTAGTTTTTCTTATTTGTTTTGAAATAAAAAGAACTAAAATATAATTAGAAAACATTAAAAGTTACCTATAATTGAAATATTATATTAGAAGCACTACATTGAATTGTTTTGTGTTACAAGATAGAAAGGAACCTTCTTAGCTAATTTTATATGATACTTTATGCATCCTGTGATTAGTATCTTGGACAGAGTCTGTGCTTTCTACTTGCCAAATTTTGGCATACGGTATTATATAATAGCATATTGTAGATTTACTTTGAAAGCACAGTCTTTTCCACGTAGATGTTTTACCAATGACCCAGAAAATAGATATAAAATTAGATTGATTTATGTTTCAACAAATAGAACATTACGTGTTTTCTACTTCTTACCGTATCATGGATTTTAAGATATATTCATTAAGAGAAGGGAATAAAAATACTTTTTTTTTTTTTTTTTGAGTTGGAGTCTCATTCTGTCGCCCAGGCTGGAGTGTAGTGGTACACTCACAGCCACCCCAGCATTGACCTGCTGGGCTCCGGTGATTCTTCCTCCTCAGACTTCCAAGTAGCCGGAACTACAGGAGCACTTTACCATGCCTGGCTAATTTTTTATTTATTGTAGAGACAAAGTCTCACCAAGTTGCCCAGGCTGGTCTTGAACCTGGGGACAATCCACTTGCCTTGGCCTCTCAAAGTACTGGGATTATAGGCTGAGCCACTGAACCCAGCCAGAGATACTTTTCATAAAAATATAATTATATCCTTTTGTAAAACAGAGCTCTTTAATTATTTAACTATGGCTTTATCCATACTATGCTGATGTTAGGGACTTCACAGGTGCCATCCTCAAACTAATACTAATATTCTAACAAAAAAGTCAAGATCATATTAAAAGTTGCCTTAATGTCTGTGACATAAGAGAATAAACAATTTTTTATAATAAATAGAATAATTAATAGGATGCATATTTTTATTTGATGCATATACTTAATGTGAGGTCATACATTTTACTTTTCATTGTACAGACATTGAAAAGTGGCCTGTCAATGGTTGGGAAAGTGGTGACTCAGCTGACAGGCACACTACCTTCAGGTGTAACAGAAGATGATGTTGCCATCCATAGTAATTCTCGGCGGAGTCCATTGGTCCCAGGCATCATCACAGTTATTGACACTGAGACAGTTGGAGAGGGCCAGGTAAGAACTTTCGATGTGTGAAATTTGTGTTACCTACAGAGATTGGTCTAAGATCAAGATCAGCCTAAGTTTATTTGGCCAAAGAGATGGTTAATTTGGTATTTTAAAAATTGACATTATTTTAGGTCAGATTTTTCCTCAAAAATGATGAATAAATAACATGTTAACACCTGTTATTTCAAACATTATTAATGCATCAAACCTGAAGGTAAAGAGATTCTCTTATCTCTTTGTGAGGACATTTGTTTCACAAATCAATAATTATGCTGCTTTTTATACTGTACTACTGATAATACTGTTTCTATTTTGTGTGTAATGACATTTGTTATGACTGAAATCATAAGATAAATATATTTATTTTTAAGGGCAAGACCATACCTATTTGGGGTAATTAAAAAATTAATTAATGGTTGCAAGAATATTATTTAGTTAATAATATCAGAATTTATAACAGATATTTCCTTGTCAATATAAAAAATATATGAGCTCTTAAAGTAGCATATCAGAATACATATATGGAACTAACTACTAAGAATTTGCATCTTCTGATGAAACAGTGTTTTGTAATTGAAAAAATCTAGATTAAGAAACATTTAAAATGGGTGATTATAAGCATGTAAATACACATTATGCTTGTATCTAAATCTTGCTGGCAAGATAGCAATTGTATTGTTTTCCCCCTAAGCATTCATAAACTTTTTCTTTTGCATCATAGTCTCCATTTAAAAAATATATTTCTTAAAGAAAGGTAATTTTTTTCCCCAATAGTGTGTGATCATTGCTATAAAAAATACAATTTAAAATCAGTCTCTAGAATGAGATAGGAATATTTGTAATATAAATGTTTTTAGTTTTTATATAGAGTATATATTTTATTCTGTATTCAGAACACAATGTTTTAGAAACTTATATGAGCCTTTAAAGTATTAATCTTAAATATTGCATGTTCTTTTGAGAAAATATGCTTCCAGTATTTATGGATTGACTTCTTGATGAAAGATTACATTTGGCAACTCTTCATGTGCTAGTTCCTATAGTAAGATCAAGGGCATTTCAAGAAAATGTGGACTGCAATTAAAACAGAAATCTTTGAAATTCTAGGTTATTAAATTTGGCTGTTGCATTTTACTTGAACTGTGAATAATAATAATTCTCTGCTTCTCTTAATCTTGTGGTTAATCAAATATGTTACAGACGTGTGTGTGTGTGTGTGTGTGTGTGTGTGTGTGTGTGTGTGTTTAATGATGTGCTAACAAACTTTTCAGTTAATGACTTTGTGTCTGTGCGTGTTAATTACCTGATGTGGATAGAAACGTACAGATGTTTTGTTTTTATATTTGAATTAAACATATAAACCTTTAGTGTTATGACTGTTAGAGTAAAAAAATTTCCTTTTGTTCTTTCATTTTGAATCTTAATTAATTTACCTACAAGCCCACACATATTTATTGGGTAGTAACAAATGTCCTCAACATTGTCTAAACCATACATCTGTTGACAATTCAGCATTTGCTGACAGAGAGAACTGTGGTCATTCAATGTAGAAAATATTTTCTCATTATTTTTTATAAAATAGAGGTGTAACTTGTATATTAATTTATTTTGTTATATTGACATATAGAAATAATTATATAAAAATTATATTAAAAATTATATAAATTATATAAGAAATAATTATATAAAAATTATATAAAACATAATTATATAACATTAGACCTTTGTGTTAAAATGTGATTTAATTTTTTCTTCAAGTTCATTAACTTTGTGACTTAAAAAAAAGAAATTTTTGTTTTGGAGTATAGAAATGGACTAGATTTTGGAGTTGCAAAAAGTTCATTAGTCTGTGATATATACATTGGTAACACTTGAGATATATACTGATGTTATTAGAAAAATTATAGAAATGTTAACTTTTGTAAGTTAAAAATCTCAAATGTTGTTCTTTTCTAAAAAAAAGTGTATCTTTTCTATTACTGGTTTGTGGCCATGATCTTGCAAAATAGTCTGAAATTTCAACTTGATAAAAAAATTTTCCAGGCTCGGTGGCTCAGCCTGTAATCTGAGCACTTTGCGAGGCTGAGGCAAGTGGGTTGCCTGAACCCACGGGTTCAAGACCCACTTGGGCAACTTGGCTAGACCTCGTCTCTTCAGTAAATCAAAAGTTAGACGGGTGTGGTAGCATGCACCTGTAGTTCCAGCTACTTGGAAGGCTGAGGCGGAAGGATTACTGGAGCCCAGCAGGTCGAGGCTGTGGTGGCTGGGAGCGTGCCACACTGCACTCCAGTCTGGCCAACAGAGTGAGACTCCAACTCAAAAAAAAGAGAAAATTCTATTAAAAGACAGGAAAGACATTTATTTTCATTACAAGCAGATTAGCATGTATATTTTTAAAGAATTGTAATTTTTAAAACAACAAGATTTTCACAGTATAATATTGTCTTTCTTTTGATTAAAATCTGTTTTTTGTCAGTAAGACCTTTTTGTCTTTGATAAATAGTACAGTTGCAGTACAAGGCTGTTTTTAGGTTACCCTGGATTGTATTTAAAAAACTGCGTAAGTTTATCACTTCTAGTCTCTTCCACTGATGTATAACCTTTACTTTTCATATCTATCTCAGGCTGCATGGAGAAAATCATTACATTGACTTTTACTGTTGAAATCCATTGAATCTTTAATAAAGATATTTTCATTTTTACAGTGGCAGTATATAAAATCTGATTCACCATTTTCTGATACTATATTGATTAGTTTTCTATTATGGTGGTGCGATTGTTGTGTGTAACTGCATTAAGGAGGAATGGATTTGATTGACTTTGTGTCCATTTTTATCTGTGTTACTTTAATGTTTTATTTAATAGTACATTTCTTGATTAGGATAAGTGTCAGAATTTGCCTTTTACACATTTATACAATTGAAGTTAGCAGTGTGACAAAATTTCTAATAGATATGAAATGTCTCAGAATGATGACACAAACCTGAGTGATTTCTTGCCCTGAGAATAAGTGTTATTTATAATAATTTAATGGTTCCTGAGGTGTTTTGTTCATATGATGAAGGCTTATCTACCTTGTATCAGTTAATATGCTTTGCTTTGTTTAATATAGTAAAGTTGTTAATACATACTTAGGACTTCACCTTGCTTAGATAAGTGATGATCAAAGATTACATCTTAGGAAAATTGCATTAGAATGTCTCTGGTGTGTTAATGGTTTGATGTTTTGGGCAATGTGTTGATGCAATGGAGAGTATTCTTCCAAATGTATCTAGATGTTTATATTTGTGAAGACCATAAAGAGAACATTCAAGGAATCTCAGGTAGTAGTATGGGTTTTTGCTATGGATCAAAAATTAATGTGCTTTTTTGCTGGATGACTTTGTTCTTTATTATTGCCATTAAATTGAATGCCAATGCTAATTATGTTGAAAAGAGACATGTAGGGCATAGGGTTATACTATATGAAAGTAAAGGGATCTTGTAGATCAAGTTTAAAATAGAAAAATGAGCAAAAGACAGAAGTAAATATTTCACAGAAAAAACAAAGTAAGTTGAGCTTTAAATAACTTGGGTTTGACCTGTGTGGGTCCACTTATGTGCTGATTGTCTTCTGCTACTGCCACCCTTGAGATAGCAAGACCAACCCTCTTCTTCCTCCTCCTTTTCTTTCTCTTCTTCAGCCTATTCAGTGTGAAGACAAGAGATGGAGGACCTTTATGGTTGATGTACTTCCACTTAATGAATATTAAATCTTGTCCCTTCCTTATGATTTTCTTAATATATTCCTTTTTTGCTCACATTATTGTAGGAGTATAGTATATAATATACAAAATATGTGTTAGTTGACTGTTTATGTTATCACTTCAGCTTCTGGTCAAAAATAGGCTACTAGTAGTTAAATTTGGGGGAATTAGTGGAGTATATGTAGCTTTTTGACTGCAAAGGATGTTGGCGCTGCTAACCTCTGAGTTGTTCATATACAAATGATATAAAATATACCCATGTCTTTATCTCACTGAGATACCCCTTTTTTATCTTTCAGAATCTGAGCAACTCAAAAGCTTGTAATATTTTCCACATTTTTTATTTTGAAATAATTATTGACTGACAGTGTTATATATATATATATACCTTTCACTTCATTTTGTCCAACTTAACTTGAATGATGACCTCTTATAGTACTATAGTACAGTATCAAAATCAGAAAATTTTCTGGGTGATGTGGTATATTTAAAAAAAACAACAGGAAATTGACAATGGCACATTACTGTTAACTAGGCTACAGATTTTACTCCTTTTTCCCCATTTGTTTTACTTGTATTCATTTGTGTGTGTATGTAGATGTGTATAGTTCTACTAAATGTTGTTCCATGTATAGATTCATGTAACCACCACCACAGTTAAGATACAGAACTGTCCCAAACATTGTCATCCACATGTACCTCTTTATGTTCATGCCTATTTCTCATCCCAATCCCATCCTTTCTTCTGACAACCACTAATCTGTTCTCCTTCTTTATAGTTTTGTGGTTTTTAGGATGTTTTGTAAATGGAATCATATAATATGTAACATTTTAAGATTACCTTTCTTTTCTTGAATATAAAGTCCTTAAAATCCATTCAGATTGCAGCACGTAATTCATACTTTTTAATCACTCTGTTTTATTCCATTGTATAGATGTATCAGTTTGTTAAACCATTCACTTGTTGAAGGACATTTGCATTGCTTCTAGCATTTTGCTATTATGAATAAAGCTGCTGTAAACATTTGTGTCAAGGTTTTTCATGTGAATATGTTTTTATTTCTCTGGATTAAAAGTTGAAGAGAGTGTTAACTGAGTTGTGTAAGTGCACGTTTAGAAAGGAATTGCCCACCTATTTTCTGGAGTGGCTGCATTATTTTACATTCCTACCAACATTGTACAGGCTGTAGATTTCTCAGATAAATCATGGAAGATGAAGGAGGAGGTATAACATCATTGAAGTACTGAAATAAATGAAGT